TGTATGTATGTATGTATGTATGTATGTATGTATGTATGTATGTATGTACAGTATGTATGTATGTGTGTGTGACAAAATATACATCAACAAAAAACTACCAATTTACATTCCAATGTTCCAATGAACAGTCGAGTAAAGAAAAGCTTTTTGTTAAGGCATTTAAGATGTTTATCTAGCTAAACTCAAAAGATCTGCCTTAAAGGGATATTCTGATCATTTTTTAAAGCGATGTTCTCTCAGACGATTTTCAGTTCAAGAYTGAAGATTCAAAGTGTTTATTGTCATATGCACAGATGAAAACATGTTTCCCTGAGCAATGAAATTCTTACTTTGTCGTCCATTTTTGAATTCCAAGAGACACCATATTAAAAAAACGAATCAACACTGAAAGTACACAAACAATGTTGATTAATTTAAAAAAGAGACTAAACTAAAGATGATAACATCAGAAGGGAATAATATAATAATGACAACAAGAAGGGAACTGTACAATCTGTTTTTAAAGTGTAACGTGCAAAGGTGCAGTTAGCACATCATGAGTCGTGACGTAGTGTGGAAGAGGAAAAGGTCTTGTGTGACAGGACGCTACAGCTAAGATTAAACCTTTATACTTTTGCATGAAACCATTTATGTTTATCACGGTTTAGTTTGACATCAGTGCTGCTATGCAAATGTTTGTGTGCTMTGAGCAGAGGCTGTATTTGATGCTGCTGAATCTATCAACCCATCCAGACAGTGGAAACGTTTGCTCCAGTCCCAGCAGAATGAGTATTTGTACAGCACTCACATATCTTTAATTATTAACACTGATCAAGTAAGAAAACAGCAATAAACTAAAGAAATGGTCATCAAAAATGTAACAGTTCAATGTTAGTGTCATGTTATTGACTAACCACTAGCCTAACCTGGATGAAGATTTTTGCCTCTTTCTTCACACTCTGTGGCTAAGGCACTATAATGTCACTTCAAAACTGACCAAACTATCCCTTTAAAATAAGTATATTTTTTCTTAATATTATAAGTCTTGTTGCTGCTCAAACTGGAAAATGTTCAAGTGAAACTGAAGCAGAATTTTTTTCTAAGAAAATCTGTACAAATATGAAATTCCTCTTTGTATTTTTAAAGTTTATAACCTGCACTCTGTTGTCTTCTAGTAGAATATCTCATGAACCACAGGACAGATTTTAATGAAACTCACTGGATGTACATCTATAACTAATTCATGTTTGTATTCAGTTCAGTTTAAAACGGCTGCCACAGCTAATCCCTGAATGGCGATATCCTCATCAGATTTCATTGAAATATAACTCGAGTGATTTCCATTCCTGTGAGAACTACTAAATGTTTTACATTTTGTGGAATAAAATCTATCTTTATGAAACCAACTAAATAAAACAGCGTGTTCGCGTCATCTCCAGCAGACTACTGGATTTACAAGGTTAAGGCAAAAGCTGTTTTGATCTTTTTTATTGGATAGTCGTCCATAAAACCAGACAGATGTGAAATATTGCCAGTACACTTGAATTATGCAAAAACATGCAAGTTATGAAAAAGGTTTGTTTGCCCAACAGCAAAACTCTTAAAGAGATCTTAGGTTTTCCTTTTGAAATAAAAGTCCTTATTTCATAACAATTACATGTTTTAGAAAAGAAAGCTCATAAAGTTACATCTCAAAGAAAATATTGCACAATCAGTTGATTTATTACCCTTGTATATCAAACAGCAGTGAGCTATATTTAACTGAAATAAGAGCAGTGTTTAATGTTTAATTCTAACCTTTCTTTTTTGTTCTGTTGTGGTTTAATACGTCACTGCTCTGTGTGCGTAAAGACACAACTGTCCAAACTGTTTATGGACTTCAGCATCAGCTTCAGTTTACAATTAAACTTTGGATTAAATATGACTTTATGGATTAGGAAAAAAATTTAATTGCTTCCAAATGTAAGAGCTTGAACTCATCTACTCTTGCTCCAGTTTGAAAAACATCTGAAACATTTGAGTTTGTTGTAAACATTATTTAAAAAGGTGCATGAAAACATTATTGTGCATGATAAATATATAGAAAATAATGCATTCAGTATATGAACATATGCGACTGGAACAGATTCGTTTGTAGTCTTTATTTCAAAAATATTACACTTCATTTATTTACATGACAGAAACAAAATAGATGAAAAACCTTATTTTTTTACTACCCAACAAATAACAACCAACTGCACTCAGATCAATAATTGCATGTTTTAAATTCAATTTATTTAAAGGGCAACAATTCACAACAAAGTCATCTCAGGACATGAAGCAAACAGGTACAGATCAGCCGATCTGACTCGGTCCAAAACAYGCTTATATCCGCTTTGTTAATCCTCTGTGATCAGGAATAACAGTTACATAAAATCTGCTATTTCAAATGTTTTCTTGATGTAGAAATCCGCCATCTTGTCAGCAGATAACCTGCAACTTTGTTAGTGGCCCTGACCACACAGGTTTTCCAATTACAAATGTGTGTTGCTGTTAAATAAACAAATAAAAAACTGTAAACGTGGAACCGTTTCTAGAAAAGTCCTTATCCACAAAAAAAAAAAGAATTAAAAAGAAACCTGAACAATAACCATTCCTATGTGAATGTCTTCAAAGTGCTTCTGGTTGTAACATGTTACACATGAGGTTTTAGAAGGCGGGTTATAAAAGTGCTCCTCTGATTGGACGACTCTTGTGGTGAGAAATCTTCATGGTGCGATACACGACTTACCTGTTTGATCAAACGAGCCGGAATACCACAGGATTTCACCAACACCCTGTGAAGTTAACACAACAAACCAGAAGTCAGCTTCTGACTCTGATCTATACGCCGGATGATGCAAGTCATCTACCAGCCAGTCTCTCTGAGGTACTTCAGGCCCTGCAGGTCATATATATTTTAGGGCATCATCAAAAGACTTCATTCTTAGAAAAACAAAAAGTCCTTTGCTCTCCCTTTACCCCCCCAGACTGGATTTAACGCTGCTCTCCTCAGGCGAAGCAGCTGATTTATTGACAATATGCTGCCATGGCTGAGTGTTTTAAAAGCAGGGGATTTTTTTTTTTAAACCCAAGCATTTCATGGACTTTGAACCACGAGACACCGTGGAGAAGGGAATGGAGAACTCATGACCGCCAACAAGCAGGACAGGCGAAGAGGCATGGTGCCCCCCCCCCCCCCCCCMCCATCAGCTCGCTCTGTGGGACGCTTTTGTCCGATAAGAGATCACGCACCGCACCCGATTCAAGTCATGTGCTACTCGTTGCATGACGAGCAACACAACAGGGATGTGTTCGCTGATTTCTGAACGTGTGTGTCGGAGGCCGTCTTCCTCCCCCGTTTGTCTGCGTGGACGTCTCTGCTGCACAGCCGAGGCATGAACGCATGTGTTGGACCGGAGAGGAAGCTGCTCRTGTCCCTGCGAGTGGGTGAACGGGGGGTCTGGGTCAGGGTGTTTCGGTACTCCGAGACCATAACTCTGCTCCGGGGGAATCTCGCTCCACGCCCACGCTTTTTCGTTCTATTAAAGTCTGGGCCGTATCAACATTCCTCAAACCCTATGGCGACTCACGCACACGCGCAATATATTACTGCTGAGAGGAACGTTCGTACGGCCGCTGACAAGACGATTTGTCAGCTCTAGTCGGGGTTAAAAGTTCAGACTTTACACGAGGCTCTATGGGATCTTCCAGGTGACTGAATCAGGGTAAATCCTGGTTCTGTCGCACTTTAGTTCAGTTTAAGATTAGACTTTAGAAATGCTTGACCAACACTCGCCTCAAACTTAACGGAGCTTCAAGAACTTAAAAGTTATGTTTTTTATGTAAAATGCATTCGTGCAACCCAAAGGGAGTTAATCCCTCAACTTCCTGAGTCTTGACGTTCTTCAGTTGTACAGATCTGACTCTATTCATGCTAGTTTGGCCTGTTTCAAACAAAGGATTAAAGCGGATTATATCACTGTGCCRCGACTGTTGGAAGGAAACTAATTTGGTCATTAAAACAGGTTTGCGTATGTACATATCTGAGGAAAATTGTTACATTTTTGCAACATTCCTGCAATGGTTTTTTTAGTGTGATTTAGCCGCAAAACATCTCATTTGCTGTACGTCTTAGCTTGATTGCAGTTTACAACTTGAGTGCTGTTTGTTCAGACATTCAGGTCAGGCGGGTTATATTCGCAGAGGGTAACCATCTAACTCAGGGGTCTRCAACTTTTACGATCAAAAGAGCCACTTCTGCTCCTTGGCTCACTAATAAAATGTGTGCAGAGCCACAAAACAAGCTACAGCTGTGATTACCAGCTGGTGGTCCGTGGGCCTTTTCGAGGCCATTTTGGGAACCTTTACAGCCAGTGAAGGTGACATTATAAAACTAAAAAATATGTTGTGAATTTTATTATTTATCATTATTTTTACGCATCAGGACAAATGAAAAGACCATATTCATGTAAACAAGAAAAATACTGTATATAGTTTATACCAAATTTCATAAAAACTAGTACAACTATTCAGACATATTTTTTTCCTAATTCTTGTTATCATGTAGTCTTAAAATTCATTAAAAGGTAATTCTGATGGATTAGAGAGAAAGATCATAGAAAGAAAATGGATTATTTAAGTAAACTAGCATGAGCTAACGTTTTACTTTTTGTATTAGTAGTATTGATCACATATTTGCATCCAAATAGATTTTGTTGTGGTACGTAGAAAAAATTTCAGCAGATAATTTTGTGTAAAGGTCAAATATTGTTTCATGTACACAAACCTTTTCATTGTATCACTGATGTTGTTGCAGTAGATCCGGTATAGGAGGGGAGGGATGGGAGGGATTTTGGGTGTGTGTGTTCTGTTTTGTGTTCTTGTTAGTTTGTTTTTTTTTTTCTGTAGTTTGTGTTAAAAAATAATAAAAAGACTTTGATCAAATTGATTTTGTTGTGAGTATAAAAAGAAACAAAAAAAATTCTATTATGTTTGGTCACATTTTCAAGCAGCCATTGCAGACAAAAGAGCCACACGTGGCCCCAGAGCCTCAGGTTGCTGACACCTGCTCTAACTCCACAACCTAGCTTTTCTTTTCTTTTTTTGATAGCTTTCAGAGATTTTGAAGAGACTGACTTCTTCAGTCCCAAAGTGGCTTCACACCTTTGCATTATTACACAAAAAACACTCAACAAGCGATAAGGAACTAAAAACTGTCCAAGCTTTACCAGTTCGGATCATTTGAAGTGCCAGTTCTGTGAAAAGATCATCAACTATTAATATAATCTTGGTATGAAAAGTAAGGAAACATGTGTTTAGTTGATTATTTGTTGTAACAATGCTTCTTGGCTATAAATCTTATAGCGGGCACCTGACTGGCAGCACCTGGATGAACCAGRAGCTCAAAACAAGAGTCAATAGCAACAGCAAAATAAGCTGTTTGGCAGAGAAGATTTAGCAAATTTTTCATGTGCACAACCCACATACTCAGCTCTACTGCTCATCCCACAAATGCATGTTCCTTACAAATGTGGCACCATTTAAAAGTGAAATTACCAGGCTTTCSAACATAATAAGATTTRCTGCTAAGAAGCGTTGTTACAGCAAATAAATAATCTACMAAACACAAATTTCCTTACTTTTGCGCTAAGTTTAGGCACAGTAATAATTAACCGTATAGAAATATTGTTACATTCAGCCGGAAACTGCAAAATGCCTAAATGCAGCCACACTTAATCCTATTTAAGACTAGAAAAAAACACCACTTAATGCCCTATCACAAATTATATTTAAGATAAATTGATTTGGATGGACATGACTTCATTCCTTTTTAACTCCTTGATTTTTTTAGTCGTGTAACTGAAACAACATAAACATGAGAATCACTTACATGAGGCGAAACGCACACGATAAATCATTAAAGTCATCAGGTTCTCATAYATTTCATCATTACACATATACAGATGATTGGATTACATGTAGCTGCAGTTTGTTCAGTAAACAGAAACAGTTTTACACTRAAAACAGACACATTCTTCGTGTTTCTGCTAAGGCTGGCGATTACATAACACATTCACACATGTAGCGTCTGTCACACACACACACCTGTAGCACAGTCCATCACACACACTCGCAGTCTCTCTGTTTACACAGACAGATCAATCCAGCTGATCCAAACCTTGAGCTCGACCTCCTCCCCCCGACGGAGCGAGCTCCTGTTAGAGGACAGGCTCACTTTACTGCACACAGAGCACATTTATTTAGTTTGCACATACCATATCTATGAGTGAGTGCGTGTTTGCGTTAAAGAGGTCACATGAAATAAGAATAAAAAGGTGGATCCATGTATGCAGAGACCCATAGACTGAATGATGGAGCTGTGTTCTCTTTTTATACGGTTTTATACCTTTTATTTCCACAGTTTTTCCCACCTGTGCTTGCAGCTGCATGCCCACACACACTGCACGTGTTTGTGTGTGTGCGCGTCTCGTGGGTTGTAACTCACTCTGACTGGAAGCCGAGGCCCCTGGCAGGGAGCGCAGGGGTCCCGGCAGGTCTCGGCAGAGCCCTAAAGAAGCTCCAGAGCGCAGCGCAGCTCCTCCGGTGGTTGCGGGACCCGTCTCCGTGTCACGCCGAGGGGAAAAYGCTCGCAAGAAGTCCTTCCTGGGAGGCCTCCAGCGTGACGGAACAGAACAATGTCATCACGTCTTATTATTGGCAGCRGTGTTGGCCCCACATTCGATTCTGAGCCACTGGGCGAAGCTGATCCACGGACGTTTATTCCATTTGATTTGTACAGTGTTGCCATGTTGCCATGATGGATGGCTACAAGAACGCTGCTGCAGGCTTAGGGGAGCAGGCAACACTGTGGCACCGCTTTAATCTTCAAATCTGCTCCTTATTGCTTCTCATGGTTTTTATTTATTTATTTCCTTTTTTAAGATTAGCTTARCAGCTAAAAACTGAAATAAAAACAGATTAAAACTATTAAAAATGGTCAAAACTGTTCTAAAGTTAAATAAAATGATAGCATTTTGCTGTATTTGACAATTTTACAATCTTAGCAGCTCTGCTGTATTTTTATTTAACTCAAATTGAAAAAAAGAGATATTTTGTGTGAACTGATACACTACTGGCTAACATAGAAAAGCCATTAGCTTCAAGGTTGAAAACCACACAAGCCATGCAAAATTGATTGCTGTCAATCTGTGCATTAAGCAGTTATTTTTATTTGTTTTTAACAAGTGCAAATAGTGACAACAGCAGCCATCTGCAGCCTGAGGCCATTCAGCAGAATTATCATCATATAACTTTCTCTGAGATTCATACTCACCATAATACTAGAGTGCTAAACTTTGTCAAATGTGCAGCATGGTAAAATAGTGTTCACATAAAGCCCTAAAAAACCTCTGAGACTGGTGCTGCTTTTCAGTGAACTTGTCAGTCCTGTCACTAACACACATTTCTTCAAACAGCCAATATATTAATTCTTCATAATAATTCCACTGAACCCTGGTGAAAAACATCTGAAGTTTCCTTTTTAAACTTTGCCTATGTTGCGTCACAATAAAAAAGCAAAACCAGCTTTAAAATAAAAGACGTTTTGAATAAGAAAGAAAAAAGTGTAATTCAGAGCAGTCGGCCCGTGACAGCAGCRTGGTCACTGCAGGGAATGCTCAGTCCCAAGAAACAGAGAAAAAAATAAAAATATTTGCTTAACATGTCTGCTTTCGTAAGTTGAAAGTCTATACGGTTGGAAAAATATCCCAGGAACCACTGAACAGATTTAACTAAT